ACCTCCGCCCGCGACGTCACGTCCGCCCGCGACGTCACCTCCGCCCGCGACGTCACCTCCGCCCGCGACGTCACGTCCGCCCGCGACGTCACCTCCGCCCGCGACATCACGTCCGCCTGCGACGTCCCTCCCGGCCTCGGCGCGACTCCCGACGCGGTCTTCGGCCCCGGCGCGACTCCCGACGCGGTCTCCGGCCTCGGCGCGATCCCCGACGTGGTCCACGGCCCTGGCGCAATTCCCGGCGCGATCCGCGACACCACTTTTGGCCGCGACGTCACTCCCGGATGCAACGTCACGTCCGTTCGCGACGCCACTCCGGGTCGCGACGCCACTTCTGGTCGCGACACAATCCCAGGCCCCGGCGCTATCCCCGGCGCGATCCCCTTCCCCCGACCCGGACAATGGGGACCGGGGAACGACACCGACGGCGCCCACCCCGAGGAGACTCCCGGTAAGTTCGCGGCGTCGGAATTATAATTGCTCGGCCCGACCGAGAGGCCGGGCGGGACGGCGTCACTCGCCTGGATCCTGTCGGCGTTCGGCCCCGGCGGGTTCCAGGTGACGTTGGCGGCCTCCGGCTCCGTGCGGCACCCCCTCGCCACATGCCCCTCTCGACCACAACGGTGGCAGACCCACGGGGCGTTCCGTCGGGGGGGCTCGGCGCGATGTTGTAGAGGCGGCTGCCAGCGACGCGGCGGTTGGTCGCGCCCCTGGTCCCTCTGCTCCGCCAGTCCCCGGATCGCCGCGTACACCTCCCGCAGCGATGGCTCCGTCTCAGACGTCGGGGGTCCGTCCCCAGCTGCCCCACAGGCAGCCTGTGGCGACGGTGCAGGTTCGGCGGTTGGTGTCGCTGGACCCAGTAGCGCCGCGGCAACGGCTCGGCTGTTCCCCCCCGCCGCGCCAGCCACCGGGCCCACGGGTGGCGCCCGGCCCATGACCTGCTCGTGGGCTTGGATGGTCCGGGCAGCCCACAGCGAGGTGCGTTCCCCCGGCGTCACCACGGGCATTACAACGCCGGCGCGGCAAGCGTAGGCGATGAGGTGCTCGACCACGAGGTCCTCGAGCGCTTCTTCAGCCAGGCGAGAGAAAGCTCTCCTCGCCAACACGAGCAGTGCACCCCTGTAGGCTAAAGGGGATTCTTTAGCCCCTCGCTGGCGATCCTGGAACCGTTTAAAGGCTCCTTCCGCCGGGCAATAGATCTCCCCCAAAGCCTCGTAGGCCGCCTGTAGCGTGGTCTTGCTGTGCGAGGGAAGGGAGGTGTAAGAGGCGAGTGCTTCCTTGCCCAGAACGGATGGCAGCGCTCGTAGTGCCTCTTCGTCTGTCCACTCGAGAGCGTGGAAGGCAGCCTCGAATCGGCGGACAAACTCCTCCCAGTCTTCTTCCTCAGCCACGAACTTGTCGACGGGCCCCAGCCGACGCGGCCGTCCGGCCACCTGCTCTACGTGTTGGGTGGTTAGCCCTGGGGGTTTTGGCGGGACCGGCGGCGGCTGGCGTGACGAGGTTGGTTGCGGCTCTTGCCCGGCCGGCTGGTCGGCCTCCGGGTCCCGTGGCCTCTCCTCCCGTAGTACGCGTGGGGGTGGGGGTCCCGGTGCTGGCGGGCCCCCCATAGGGAGCCTCTGTAGGAGCTCCTGGAGTGCCCTCTCCACGCGGGCCATGCGGTCCTCCATGGGGTCCTCCAGGCGATCCGGGCCCCCTGCTGCTGCTTCTGATAGCAGGCCCCCTTGTTGCCCGGGATGGGAAGGATCCCCGGCCCCTGCTTCCTCCTCCCTTGGCTCTTTCCCGCGGGGATTTTTCTTTGTAGCCATGAGATCCCACCGCTGCCATCAGATGTAAAGTAGGAGCCGACACCAGATTGCAGGGGTCTCGTCCTTTATTCCTTTCCTTCCATCCACACCTGTCCCCACCCGTCCCAATCTCGTTCCCGCCAAAGGCCCCTTCTTCCCGCCCGTTCTCTCCTTATATCTCCTCGATCACCCCTCCCACTAACCCATCTATTGGTGGGAATCCTTCCCCTGACACCCCTACACTGGGTAAAAATAGTGCCGTCTGCTACACAGTGGACTGAAAGATCCCCTCACATTATTCGAAAACAAGTGGGCCATGTTTGCTGGAATCACATGGTCCACATTTACAGCGATACCCCGGTTAATGTCGGAAATGTGTTCCTGAAAGGTGCGACAGCGAATATCGAAACGATGTCAATCAAAGCAATTTACAGGGTCGTGGGAGGTGGAGGCGAAGGCTGAGAGGCGACGGATAACGAGACAGGACGGATGATGCTGTCAGCGACGTAAGTGTGGGTTGATGCGACGCAGATCAGGTAGTAGCCGTGTTGATAAAGTGACGACGTGTTGGCAAAACAACGTAAAAGGGGAAGACGTACATCGAGCTGTTAAACTCGCTAATTAGTCAACATCCCCCACCAAACTGTGGCCAGGTCGCTTCTGAAACAGAGCTACATAGCTCAGTGGGGCCTTACCTGGTAAAAAAAAAGTTTAGGCTGAGTAGACCTAGTGGAGGCCCAGAATTGGTTCGTATAATCGTCACTCGTGTTGGTGACCGTGAGCGGGAATCAAACTCGGGTTACCGGGTTTGTAGTGCAGCGCGCTAACCGCTACACTACCGCTCCCCAACAAAGACAAAGATCCCCCATATAGTCTGTAACAGACTGCTGGGGCAAGTGCTGTTAGCGAGCACCTACGATGGTCGGCACAGCACACGAGGGGGTGGTTGGCCAGAACCACGCCCGGCCGCCTTTGTCTCCCTTGTGGCGATGTTTACACGTCGCACCGGGTACTCATTTGAGGCTGGGTCGACCTAAGGGAGGCCCAGGACCGGTTTAGAAAATCGTCATTGATTTTGGCTGTGAGCGGGAATTGAACCCTACGCTCGCTCACTCACTCACCCGCACTCACTCACGCGTTGGTGAGCTCACTAACCTTTCCGTGTGCGAGACAAGTGGCCATCTCTGACAAGGGCTAGAGCTCACCACACTTGACGAACACAGTCACCCAAAGGTCCGAAACGCCAAGCGGCCAGAAACAAACATCACTATCAAGGTTGTAATGGATAAGCGTAGAGCGGTGTCTTGAATTAAGCAAGAGATGGCGAGGGGGGAGACGATGATGGGAGGAGGAGGAGGAGGAAGGAATTCCAAAGTGGAGCAGGGGAAGGGCAGAAGGATCAAAGAGAAGATTTTATGACCTGCAGTGCAGTGACTGAGTGCTTGAATGAGTGCAGTGAATTGACCTGCAGTGTGGTGGTTGAACACAGCGTGGTGGATGAGACGAAACAGTCTGCACCTCCGATTAGCACGGTCGGCTACGTACGGTGCGAAAGAAATTCAACATACAGACAGTCAGTCCTGTAAACGGAGTCCTCAAAGTGGAAGCTGGAATGCGTGAGTGTGGTTCACACACACACCGAGACACACACACAGTCACACACACACACACACAGTCACACACACACACACAGTCACACACACACACAGTCACACACACACAGTCACACACACACACACAGTCACACACACACACACAGTCACACACACACAGTCACACACACACACCGTGACATTAACACGCACAGTCACACACACACACACCGTGACATACACACACACCGTGACATTAACACGCACAGTCACACACACACACACCGTGACATATACACACACCGTGACATTAACACGCACAGTCACACACACACACACCGTGACATACACACACACCGAGACACACACATACACACAGTCACACACACACACAGTCACACACACACCGTGACATTAACACGCACAGTCACACACACACACCGAGACACACACACAGTCACACACACACCGAGACACACACACACCGAGACACACACACACACCGTGACATTAACACGCACAGTCACACACACACACACCGTGAGATACACACACAACGTGACATACACACACACAGTCACACACACACACCGAGACACACACACACACCGTGACATTAACACGCACAGTCACACACACACCGAGACACACACACACCGTGACATTAACACGCACAGTCACACACACACCGAGACATTCACACACACAGTCACACACACACCGAGACACACACACACACCGAGACATTCACACGCACAGTCACACACACACACACCGAGACACACACACACACACCGAGACATTCACACACACAGTCACACACACACACACCGAGACACACACACACCGTGACATTAACACGCACAGTCACACACACACACACCGTGACATACACACACACCGTGACATACACACACACCGAGACATTCACACACACAGTCACACACACACACCGAGACACACACACACACCGAGACATTCACACACACAGTCACACACACACACCGAGACACACACACACACCGAGACATTCACACACACAGTCACACACACACACACCGAGACACACACACACACCGTGACATTAACACGCACAGTCACACACACACACACACCGTGACATACACACACACCGTGACATTAACACGCACAGTCACACACACACCGAGACACACACACACACCGAGACATTCACACACACAGTCACACACACACACACCGAGACACACACACACCGTGAGATACACACACAACGTGACATACACACACACACCGAGACATTCACACACACAGTCACACACACACACCGAGACACACACACACCGTGACATTAACACGCACAGTCACACACACACCGTGACATACACACACAACGTGACATACACACACACACCGTGACATACACACACACCGTGACATACACACACACCGAGACATTCACACACACACAGTCACACACACACACAGTCACACACACCGAGACATCCACACACATAGACAGAGAGAAGGCGTGCGATCTCTCCCAACAACATTCGCTATTCAACGACAGACAGGGAGACGAGCGAAAAGATTCTCTAAACACACAGAATCTACGGGCATGCGAGCTTCACCCGGCGAGTCTCACCCCATGGCGGTCGCCACCGTCGCCAGGAAGCAGTTGCTACAACAAGAGGCGAGTGGTGGGTGCGCTTTGGCCGCCCTCTGGCTGATGCTGCGAGCAGTGTCTGGTTGCGTGTGAGACTGTAGGGGCAAGTGCTGTTAGCGAGCACCTACGATGACCGACACAGCACACCAGGGGATGGGTGGCCAGAACCACGCCCGGCCGCCTTTGTCTCCCTCGGGTGATGTTTACACATCGCACCAGGTATTAAAGGCTGAGTCGACCTAAGGGAGGCCCATTACCAATTCAGATAATCGCCATTGGCCGTGAGCGGGAATCGAACTCGGGTGGCTAGGTTCGTAGCGCAGCGTACCGCTAACCGCAGACCATCGTGCCCTACAGGGTTGATAAAAAATGAGTTCCACTGTGTGGGGGAAGTCAACATTTGTGCTTTCCCTGTGAAAGGATAGCCCCCGCCATTGCAATGTGGAATTGTCACCACTGACTTCAGGGCTGTACATTTGAGACGGGCAGCTAATGGTCATTTGAGCAGGAAATCACTTTGACTTTACATTGCATCTATGTGTTACATACTGATGATGTATCATTAATGTACTGATGAAGTTTGTTTCCATCTCTTACCCATAAAACGCTTCAACTGCTTTTAATAAATGTGGCTCAAAGCCGCCTTCAGTGAGGTCACAGGGAACCGATTACGCGTCGATTCTCTGTGCCCAGAACCAGAACCAGCAGCAGCTGTCGGATTTTATCCGGCAGCATCTCGTGCATGGTGCTCGAGATGATCGTGGCTGATGCCCCCGTATCCACCAAGATACGTGCCGACACTCCCGCGATTTCACCGACCAAGACCGAGGTTCCTGACGTGGCCGCTACCACCCGCCTTGCCAGCTTCCTCCATTGTGTGGCTGAGTCCGGCCACTGACCAGGCGGCGTCTCGTTATCCTGTGGTGCATGGTGAAATGATGGGGGATGGATGTGAATAGACTGAAGATGGGGTTCCTCCCTTTGGAGTGCATCGCAGCAAGGTGAACGCGCCCTTGTTACATAGTGTGGGCTTACCCCTGGGTTGCGGGCTGGGCTCTCTATGTGGTGCAATTTGCCCCCCTTTGGTGACGTAGGATGGGCCCCCCTTGTGGTGTGGGGGGCCCCCCCCATTGTAGGGGGCAGTGGGGACTGGGGGGTGGGCCTTCCCGTGAGCCCCTCCCTTCTCCCCTCCCTTTCCTTTGTCACGGGGGCGTGGTCCCCCTGGTTCCGTCTCGCTCTGCCGCAAAGCGGTGGCGAGGCGGGCCGTGGAACTGCTCCAGGGCGCAATGTCAATCTTGTGGGCTGCCTCCGCCCCCGGGCCGTTGCCCCTGGCAACTCGCCGGCGTCGCAGGCAACTGGTGACGTCACGCCCGCCGGCGACGTCACGCCCGCCCGCGACGTAACGCCCGCCGGCGACGTCACGCCCGCCCGCGAAACCACGCCCGCCCGCGACGTCACGCCCGCCCGCGAAACCACGCCCGCCCGCGACGTCACCTCCGCCCGCGACGTCACGTCCGCCCGCGACGTCACCTCCGCCCGCGACGTCACCTCCGCCCGCGACGTCACGTCCGCCCGCGACGTCACCTCCGCCCGCGACATCACGTCCGCCTGCGACGTCCCTCCCGGCCTCGGCGCGACTCCCGACGCGGTCTTCGGCCCCGGCGCGACTCCCGACGCGGTCTCCGGCCTCGGCGCGATCCCCGACGTGGTCCACGGCCCTGGCGCAATTCCCGGCGCGATCCGCGACACCACTTTTGGCCGCGACGTCACTCCCGGATGCAACGTCACGTCCGTTCGCGACGCCACTCCGGGTCGAGACGCCACTTCTGGTCGCGACACAATCCCAGGCCCCGGCGCTATCCCCGGCGCGATCCCCTTCCCCCGACCCGGACAATGGGGACCGGGGAACGACACCGACGGCGCCCACCCCGAGGAGACTCCCGGTAAGTTCGCGGCGTCGGAATTATAATTGCTCGGCCCGACCGAGAGGCCGGGCGGGACGGCGTCACTCGCCTGGATCCTGTCGGCGTTCGGCCCCGGCGGGTTCCAGGTGACGTTGGCGGCCTCCGGCTCCGTGCGGCACCCCCTCGCCACATGCCCCTCTCGACCACAACGGTGGCAGACCCACGGGGCGTTCCGTCGGGGGGGCTCGGCGCGATGTTGTAGAGGCGGCTGCCAGCGACGCGGCGGTTGGTCGCGCCCCTGGTCCCTCTGCTCCGCCAGTCCCCGGATCGCCGCGTACACCTCCCGCAGCGATGGCTCCATCTCAGACGTCGGGGGTCCGTCCCCAGCTGCCCCACAGGCAGCCTGTGGCGACGGTGCAGGTTCGGCGGTTGGTGTCGCTGGACCCAGTAGCGCCGCGGCAACGGCTCGGCTGTTCCCCCCCGCCGCGCCAGCCACCGGGCCCACGGGTGGCGCCCGGCCCATGACCTGCTCGTGGGCTTGGATGGTCCGGGCAGCCCACAGCGAGGTGCGTTCCCCCGGCGTCACCACGGGCATTACAACGCCGGCGCGGCAAGCGTAGGCGATGAGGTGCTCGACCACGAGGTCCTCGAGCGCTTCTTCAGCCAGGCGAGGGAAAGCTCTCCTCGCCAACACGAGCAGTGCACCCCTGTAGGCTAAAGGGGATTCTTTAGCCCCTCGCTGGCGATCCTGGAACCGTTTAAAGGCTCCTTCCGCCGGGCAATAGATCTCCCCCAAAGCCTCGTAGGCCGCCTGTAGCGTGGTCTTGCTGTGCGAGGGAAGGGAGGTGTAAGAGGCGAGTGCTTCCTTGCCCAGAACGGATGGCAGCGCTCGTAGTGCCTCTTCGTCTGTCCACTCGAGAGCGTGGAAGGCAGCCTCGAATCGGCGGACAAACTCCTCCCAGTCTTCTTCCTCAGCCACGAACTTGTCGACGGGCCCCAGCCGACGCGGCCGTCCGGCCACCTGCTCTCCGTGTTGGGTGGTTAGCCCTGGGGGTTTTGGCGGGACCGGCGGCGGCTGGCGTGACGAGGTTGGTTGCGGCTCTTGCCCGGCCGGCTGGTCGGCCTCCGGGTCCCGTGGCCTCTCCTCCCGTAGTACGCGTGGGGGTGGGGGTCCCGGTGCTGGCGGGCCCCCCATAGGGAGCCTCTGTAGGAGCTCCTGGAGTGCCCTCTCCACGCGGGCCATGCGGTCCTCCATGGGGTCCTCCAGGCGATCCGGGCCCCCTGCTGCTGCTTCTGATAGCAGGCCCCCTTGTTGCCCGGGATGGGAAGGATCCCCGGCCCCTGCTTCCTCCTCCCTTGGCTCTTTCCCGCGGGGATTTTTCTTTGTAGCCATGAGATCCCACCGCTGCCACCAGATGTAAAGTAGGAGCCGACACCAGATTGCAGGGGTCTCGTCCTTTATTCCTTTCCTTCCATCCACACCTGTCCCCACCCGTCCCAATCTCGTTCCCGCCAAAGGCCCCTTCTTCCCGCCCGTTCTCTCCTTATATCTCCTCGATCACCCCTCCCACTAACCCATCTATTGGTGGGAATCCTTCCCCTGACACCCCTACACTGGGTAAAAATAGTGCCGTCTGCTACACAGTGGACTGAAAGATCCCCTCACATTATTCGAAAACAAGTGGGCCATGTTTGCTGGAATCACATGGTCCACATTTACAGCGATACCCCGGTTAATGTCGGAAATGTGTTCCTGAAAGGTGCGACAGCGAATATCGAAACGATGTCAATCAAAGCAATTTACAGGGTCGTGGGTGGTGGAGGCGAAGGCTGAGAGGCGACGGATAACGAGACAGGACGGATGATGCTGTCAGCGACGTAAGTGTGGGTTGATGCGACGCAGATCAGGTAGTAGCCGTGTTGATAAAGTGACGACGTGTTGGCAAAACAACGTAAAAGGGGAAGACGTACATCGAGCTGTTAAACTCGCTAATTAGTCAACATCCCCCACCAAACTGTGGCCAGGTCGCTTCTGAAACAGAGCTACATAGCTCAGTGGGGCCTTACCTGGTAAAAAAAAAGTTTAGGCTGAGTAGACCTAGTGGAGGCCCAGAATTGGTTCGTATAATCGTCACTCGTGTTGGTGACCGTGAGCGGGAATCAAACTCGGGTTACCGGGTTTGTAGTGCAGCGCGCTAACCGCTACACTACCGCTCCCCAACAAAGACAAAGATCCCCCATATAGTCTGTAACAGACTGCTGGGGCAAGTGCTGTTAGCGAGCACCTACGATGGTCGGCACAGCACACGAGGGGGTGGTTGGCCAGAACCACGCCCGGCCGCCTTTGTCTCCCTTGTGGCGATGTTTACACGTCGCACCGGGTACTCATTTGAGGCTGGGTCGACCTAAGGGAGGCCCAGGACCGGTTTAGAAAATCGTCATTGATTTTGGCTGTGAGCGGGAATTGAACCCTACGCTCGCTCACTCACTCACCCGCACTCACTCACGCGTTGGTGAGCTCACTAACCTTTCCGTGTGCGAGACAAGTGGCCATCTCTGACAAGGGCTAGAGCTCACCACACTTGACGAACACAGTCACCCAAAGGTCCGAAACGCCAAGCGGCCAGAAACAAACATCACTATCAAGGTTGTAATGGATAAGCGTAGAGCGGTGTCTTGAATTAAGCAAGAGATGGCGAGGGGGGAGACGATGATGGGAGGAGGAGGAGGAGGAAGGAATTCCAAAGTGGAGCAGGGGAAGGGCAGAAGGATCAAAGAAAAGATTTTATGACCTGCAGTGCAGTGACTGAGTGCTTGAATGAGTGCAGTGAATTGACCTGCAGTGTGGTGGTTGAACACAGCGTGGTGGATGAGACGAAACAGTCTGCACCTCCGATTAGCACGGTCGGCTACGTACGGTGCGAAAGAAATTCAACATACAGACAGTCAGTCCTGTAAACGGAGTCCTCAAAGTGGAAGCTGGAATGCGTGAGTGTGGTTCACACACACACCGAGACACACACACAGTCACACACACACACACACAGTCACACACACACACACAGTCACACACACAGTCACACACACAC